CTCTTAATATTACAATTATTCTTTGCCTTAAATGTTTTCTGCAATGCTCTCTATGCTCTGCATATCCTTAGTAGTAATTTGTTGTACTTTTTAATTCTTAATTGAGTTTGAGCGGACAAAAAAGACATTCACGGCTGAAATTCTTATACTAATTTCATTCTTTGGTAATAGTGCATTGAATTCTTCCATTTTACTCACTGCATATAAATTTACTCATGAAGATGAGTGTATGTAATTGATGGGCGGAGAATGTGATTGTGGAATTACAGTTAGACAGAAACCTGCTTTATCAATTAAATCAATTTAACCTTTCAAATATAATCCCAAAAATATTTCAGAACCAATCGGACTTCAGCATGAAGGCACCAAAGCCGCCCGATAGGCCACTTGTTCCTTATATGCGTTATAGCCGCAAAATGTGGTCCAAGGTAATGATTCTTAACAGGAGCGCTTGACTTCATTTGTAGAATTTAACAAAATGCTCTCCAGCTTAATTATGAGCAGATATTCCTAGTACTCGACTGGGATATGTATTTGAGATTACATTCATGTTAACTTTTGGTTTGATTTAGTTAGAGCAGGAAAATTGGAAAAGTTCAGAAATGTTTAATGAATCAGTTATAATTATAACCGTAACAAGAGCCTATTTAAATGTTGATTTAGAGTCAAAACCACGAATCACGCGTTTTTTCAAATGCGTTCATAGTTATAGCCAGCTTGGTTAACTCACTCTCTGTTTTCCAAGGTTCGGGCTGAAAATCCGGATGCACAGCTATGGGATATTGGTAAGATCATCGGACAGATGTGGAGAGACATCTCAGATGCTGACAAGGCTGTATATCAGCATGAGTATGAAATAGAAAAGGTAATGTTTATTTTCTAACTTGTAATAAAACATCACATCAAACAAATTCATTCTAGGCTGAGTACGAAAAAGCCTTCAAAGCTTATCAAAATTCTCATGCATACCAGCAGTACATCAATGCAAAGGTGACTTCTGATATTTTCTTCAAATAACTTTTTCTTCTAAAATTTCTCCTGTTATGAGCTAGGAAATCATTTAAGACACGCGCCAAAGCGAATGAGAAAACATCGCGTAGTC